ACTCAACAATATCCATCAAATAAATATAATTCTTTATTCAATAATACCAGTAGTGGTCGGACTCGATCTAAACCATATCAAATAAATTCTTCAAGTACTAATCAACCACGTCAACGTACTGCAAATACACTTTTTTCACTAGATACACCACCTGATACTAAATTGGAACAGGAATCTTTTCCATCTATCCTTTGTCCACAATGTAATCAATTTGGACATGAAGCTTCTTCATGTCAAAATTTTTAATCACGGAATCAGCGATAGATGGTGGTGATTCCGACGAAAACAATAAAAAACCATCTAAATCATCCTTAATTTTCATTACCACATTCGTTAATACACGTAAAATAAAAATTTTAATCGACACAGGAGCGACCACCACTTTCATCAACGCCAAAGTTTTGCAAAATATGAAACATCTTCATTATATTCATCAAACGCCCTATTCTTTTGTATTAGCCGATGGAATGGCACCGTTCTACGTACTGGGATTAGTCGAATTATCAATTCAATTTGCTGATTCAATAACAAAAATTCAAGCTCATATTGCCCGAAATTTATGTGCAGATATGATTCTTGGTATGGATTACATCAATTTATATAATTTGAATATTAATATCCAACAACAAATTGTTTCTATTCAACATCTAAATCATACCTTTGCTATGAACATTGATAAAGATTTTATATTCCGTAAAATTCCAGTTACTGTGTCAAAACCAATAGTCATTCCTCCTCGATCAAATCGTTCCATCGTAGTGTCCGTTCCTGTTTCATCAATTTCTTCTTCATTTGTTCCTACTTATCGTTTGCATACTAACGCTTTATTACGCACCCCTATACATTTCTCAACTTTCAAAACTATTTCTCTAACGTTACGTTTTCTAATACTTCCTTACGTTCTCATTTTATTAGAAAAGGTGTTTGTGTCGGGTTTCTAAGTTGTAATTCTCTATCAAAAGCTCCTCAGATACTGTCGTATTCTATGCATAAGTCATTTGGCGTCACCGGATATTCCGGTAGGACACCAGCCTCTTTTGATTTTAATACAGATAAAATAGTTACTTATCAACAATCATTTGGCGTTACCGGATCTTCCGGTATGGCACCAGTCTCTCATGATTTTGATACAGATGAGATCGCTAGTTGTCAGAAATTATTTGGAGCCATCGGCCATTCCGATGTGACACCAGTCGCTTGTGATTCTGACACAGATGAACGCGCTTACTATAAGGTACCGAAACATCCTACTCAAAATGTTATTTGTAATACTATAAGCTCGTTAAATCCTATAGTTGACGAAAACATTCGTACATTAGTTCAGAAAATTAATAATAAACCCCGACAAGATCAAATTTATTCTTTATTAGTTCGTTTTCATCGCACTTTCGATACCACTAAGCATAATATTGCGAATACACCCATTAATCACGTTATTCATACTATTCCTCATTCACCACCAGCCTGTCGACCGTATCCGCAACCGGATAAGGAAGAAGCGATGTATAAGTTAGTTCAGGAATTTTTACAAGCTTATATCTCTACAAATTTACTTTTGTTAGTAGGTCATATTCGATAATGTCGTATATTCATCATTCCCATTCCAATAATCAATCAGCATTTTCTCGTAGTTCGTTGTTGCAGTTTCCGAATTCTTCGGAAAACAGCAGTCCTACAACTACTTCGAGAAATAATGATTTAATGTTACATACTGCTCCTCAACCACAGTCAAATCCACATCAACGTTTTCTCAATCGATCTATATCAAATTGTCCAAAACATCTTAAAGGCAAAAAACGAGCTGAATGGTTAAAAGCTGGAAAAAAGGCTCAACTAAATCATCAATTAATATCCACCACAAATGCCTTTCAATGGTCTAAATCATATTATGATACTCCCATACATATTCATCATCACACTCCCTTAAATACTATTGAATATCTTATACAGCAAGTTTCGAATGTTCACTTATTTACAATCGATACTGAATCAGATAAACCGACCAAGAAACAGCCTAAATCGATTCCTGCATTAATACAGATTCAAGCTATTCACAATGAGCATTCAGCTAATGTTATTCTCATCGAGGTTCAACATCTTCCTCATCAATCAACATTCCTCTTTTCGAACAATTTCATTTATTTGATATATCACATATTACAAATACTTATAACATTCAAAAACACTTTACAGATGAATGGAATAAAACTCATCCACATACTAGTGAATGCTTAAATTCTAATCATTCAACACAAGACAATGATGATTCTGATGATCTCCTTATCTGTCTTGTTAATACCGATGATCTTCTTGATGATTCTATTTCAACTAATCATAACGATAATATTAATACTTGTATTTGTCCGGATTCACATCGACCATATAAAGCTAAAAATGAACTATGGTCTTTACAAAAAGCTATTAAAGTAACATTCGATCAAGCATTAGATAAAGCTATGACTTTAAATTTATGGTCATGCGGACTTGATCAACATTTACACACGTGGAATACCGATTGGGATAAATCTACTCGAGAATCGTTAATCTTTTACGCCATTAACGATCTCTTTGCACCAACACAATTATATTTTCATCTCAATCCAACAATTCTTACTACTCAAACATCTAATACTTCATCTGATCTTCATTCAATCATGCATCATCCAGTCATTACTACACCATTATTTCTCATCTTATCGGATAGTCATGGTAAACATCTTCAATCTACGATTATCACGTCAAATTATCGTATTATTACTCGATCTATTTCTGGTCTTCAATGGATAAATAAATATGATCCTAATTTATGTACTCGTTCACTCATCTTATCTTCATCTATAACTTCCATCTTATCGGATGCTACTGGTGTTTTATGTATTATTGGCACCAATTCCGTTCGTACAACACATACCTCCGATATTATTCCACAGATTGAAGATATTGTTAATCTTATTCGTGTTCATAATCCTCATCTGACCCACAAACATGGTATTACCATTGTCGAAACATTTCCATGTTTTAAAGTGTCAAACACTTTTCCATCAATTACATCGTTATCAAATAACATCGCTATTTATAACAAAGAATTACAACTATTATCTGAACGTGTGAAATTTTCGTGTATTAATTTTCATATTACGTATGAACATTTATATCGCGATCAAATGCATTTACACCACCAACATCAAGATTTTCTTTATGATACGATCATGAATTATTTCCATATGTTAATCGAAAAGAAATTAATAATCAGTCAAAATCAACGTCGATCTCGTCCAGCTCTTACGAGAAGGAACAAGAAAAGACACGAAAAATTACGAACAAAACAACAACACCATACACTTATTCGATCGATCAGTCCTTTATGGAAATTACATGATATTAAGCAATATTTATCATACTATAACATACAATATGCTCGACTACCTGAAATTTATAAACATCGACTCCGTATTCAGTTTAACAATGAACTTTACAAACAACAAGCCGACACAATTTTGTCGTCAACTATTTTTGATGAGGAACATTATCTTGACTGGCATCAACAACATCCCTAACCCTATTTCATTTTGTAAACATTTTTGTTATTCGTTTGTTTTCTCCATTATTATATTTCTACTTCTTTTCTCTATCTCTTATTTTGTTTTCTCTCTCCTTTCTATTGTGTGTTACAACTCTATCCCTTGAGGTCTGAGTTGATTCATCTTCCAGCCTACCCAATAGGGTGGGCAGGAGTCGTGACGCTTCTTCTTTGGCCAAAAGGGGGAGGTGTTAGCGTCAATAGATGGCTCTGTATGACGCCAACTCTATCATTATTATTTGTTATATAACCCTCTCTGATCTTTTCTCGTTGATCGTTCGTTATGGTTGATCAACGTCCAGTGGGTCAGTTGTTGTTTTTCTCTTCTCCCGGTGATTGTTTATTTCTGTCGTTGTTTATCTTTTTCAACATTATTATTAGTATATTTCTATTATTTGTTTTTATTCATCATTAAATAAAAACATATTCATCTATTATATATTATTATCTTCAAATCAATTATTACAACGAACAAATCCTGGTAGGAAGTTTCTTTTTATAAGTGAACTCTCAATTATAAAAGGCAGACATTCGTCTCAAATTGGATATTATTTAGCCTACGTAATAAACGGGGGTTAAAGATTGAATAAGATAATAAAAGAGAGTCTCACAAAGTAGAAATACGATTAAATGATGCTGTGATACTTGTTACCATTATGTTTTTTGGTCAAGAAGATGATATAATATATTTTAATGACATTTATATATTTTGTTTAAATGGTCGATATAATAGTATGACATGACAACAAAATAAAAATAAAACAGATCTAAAACTTATATGTTCTAATATATGTATATTTATGACTATTTGTCCATCATAAAGTAGTCGATAGGATACCAATATGTATTATGTGTCTTAAAAAGTGAGAAAGAGGATGTTGCAGAACCACATATCGTCCATTGGGGCATGAAAATAGATTGCCTGCTTTCTATCTCTCATTTTTCCTTTTACATGGACACCCCAGGAGAATCATTCCAACAATCGGATCCGATCGGATTCCTATCGGATTCGATCGGATTTTATTGGAATTTCTATAAATCCGACGAAATCCTATAGGAATCCGGGAGACGATCCTACTAACGGAACCTTAGTGTCTAGACATTATAGGATCCTACTATCGGATTCCGATAGTAATTCATCGTATAAATATGACTGGTCTCTAGTATTGGGTTAAAATGCTAATTAGCACGTAATTAAGAAAATAGGTTTCGCCCGTCAGATCCGTTAGTCGATCCGTTTCCCGGAATCCCATAGGATTTTGTCGGATAGTCGGATCCGATCAGATCCGATTGGATCCGGTATCGGATTCATTCACCTGGGACGAAGCGATGTTCTTGTTTTTCTTGTTCTTTTCGGTTGAATCGGAGATTGAGGTGCGGATGTGAGAGCGGCTATAGATGTGGTTGTGAATGTAGGTATGAGTGTCAGTGCCAGTGAAAAATGCGCAGCGTCCACACTCACACCTATACCTACACCCATCATTCACACCCACACCCTACTCGAAAATCGTGCTAACTTTACCTATGTCATCCTTGAGGGGTACCAAGGGCAAAAATTGACGAAAATGAAAGCCGTAGAAGCAGTTTGAAATGTATATAAGTCGACTTGGTTTTTGTGCTGATTTCAAATATGACATCCTTTTAAAGTCAAACGAAGCATTTTCTTCTCGAAACCGTCGAAGATTAGTCAAAAGAGAGGTAAATTGACTATCGAGCATTGTAGTTAGAGCAAAAGTGCTTCACTGGACATCAAATTTCAAGTTGAATATGGTCTCACCAGAAAGAGTACATTGAATTGCATATTCAGTGAAAAAATCAAGCCGGTGCACCCGGAGAAACTATAACTTCGAAAGACTTGAAAAATCATTTTTTGTGCCAATATGGCCCAATCGGAGCAGTATTTGACCTTTATCGATAGAAAAAAATTTGAATGTCTAAGATGCTCTTATAGATTCTGGTAGAGAATGAAATTCTCTATCAAATGAGCCTATTTGCGACTAGCTTAGCAGGGGTGAAGAATCTACCCGTAGGCTGCAGCGGCGTTGCTGGGAAAAATGGACCTCTCGGGGAAATTTTGAAAAAGATAAGTAGGGAAAGAAATATTGGATCCAGTAGAAAAAACACGAAGTCATTGGATGAGAAAGTGACCTTGGCTTTAATAGAGTTCATTCAATCTTTAAAAGAGGAATTGCGGTTTCTCTAAAGGAAAAATCCAATTGTTCGTGTTGATGGGTGATTGATCTGACACATCAATACTGTACTGGTTCATTTTCAAACGACAACTATATATACATGAATAAGCTAGAAAAAATCAAACATACGAGGAATAAAACATGATGAGAGGGAAAATATTTAAATCACATCGGAAGGAGAGAATGTTTAGGGAAATGTTTGAAAGCAAAGGAAAGAAAAGAAAAGAAGATGCATACGTATGTCATATGTGTCATCTACGTGCGATGGCAGAACAGAAGTAAGAGAAAAGAGAAAATAGAAGATAGAACTGAGCCATACTATAACAGCTTCAAAGGGAAAAATTTAATTTTATAAAAGAAAAATCCGACCGTTTTAAAAGGAGAAATTTAACTTTGCTAGGTTTCTTTTTATGTTTTCAATTTTCTCAATCGCTTCGATTTTGGGTGGGGTGTGAGTGGGCGTAGGTTTGAGTGTGCGACTGCAAAAGAGATTCACACCCATACCCCACTCGATCTTTTGTAGTTCCGTCTTATTCGTTAAATAAAAACTCGTGAATTCGCGAAAGAGGGTGGGTGTGGGTGTGTGTGGATGGGAATGCGGGTGGGTGTAGGGTGTGGGTGTGGGTGTGTG